CTGCTAGATACGACAAACTGTGCAGTACCCTTCCTCAAAACGTTTCCCGTGTCGATTTGGCTTTGTCGGAAAGTGATCAAGCTATGGTGCTAATACGTAACCTCCCATCAGACGCAAGACAGTATGTGTTGTTGCGTGCACACGACGATAGTCTCACTGCACTTAGAGAGGCAGGTTTGAAGTACGAACGCCAACAAAGACTCTACAACGAGTTGGGAGCTGTTGGAGGGAGGTTGAGAGAACTTCAGGCAGAGGAAGTTGATGATGGGGAATTTGATGAGGGTTGGGTAGAGGCTGTAGCAGGAGTGAAGTGTAAAAGGTGTGGGAAGAAACATGAAACTGCGTCATGTACCACAGACCTTAAGGCTGTTGTGTGTTTCAAGTGCGGGGAGAAGGGTCACATTGGGGCCAACTGCAAGAATCCTTCAAAGAAAGACAAGGAAGGCAAAGGTCAGGCAAACACTGGAAAAGGCAACGTTGGAAAAACCAGCCCCGGGAAAGGTAAGCAGAAGGGAAAAGGCAAAGGCTCTAACCCAGCTAAGAAGGGGACTGGTAAGAAAGGGAAGATGTTTGAGTTGGCAGAAGGTGAAGAAGAGGAGTATGTAGAGGAAACAGAACCAGTTCAAGACATTCAGATGTGCATTCAGACGGATTGTGCAGTCTGTCTTGAGTTTGAGCTAGTTGAGAGTTCATTCGAGCACCAACGACCGTTGTCCGAGATTGGTGAAAGACCGCTTGAGAGCCAGCCACAGTTGTTGGGAGATCCACATGAACAAGATCTGACTGCGATGGTTGCATGGTTGGAGAATGTTGCATTGGAGATCGAAGGCCGCAAGGAAGACCTAGTTCGACTTCAAGCACGCCGAGAAGTTTGGGTTGATGCGTGTAGCGTGTTTGTTGCAGGTGGAGTTGTTGCAGTTGAACGGTTTGTCGAGGCAACTTGTCCTTTTTGGGATACAAACCGGGGTTTAAATTTAGACCCCGCTTTTGGAGCCGAACCGAGAGCGTGTGACTTGTGTGTTGCTTGCGTGAGTGTTCATGACTGCTTGGGAACCCATGATGCAAAAGTCGATTCTGAGATCTTCAGTGAAGATCCAAGGCAGTGTTCTGAGGTGCCCATTGGGTGTGCTTCGGTGCACCTACCTTGGAGTGCCTTTGGTTCCGCCAAAGACACTTTGTGCTTGGAAGAGAGGAAGTGGATGCTTCCTCTGTTGAGTGCCTTGGAGACTCAAGAAGTTTCTGACTGGTGGTTGGTTGATAGTGGAGCTACTGTTTCTGTTTTGGCCATCCAAAACCTCAAGAACTACAAGATAGTTTCAAGGGAACCGTTTAAGTCAACGGGTTTCTATGCCGCGAATGGGACCATTGTGAAGATGTTGGAAAAGGTCAAGATAGAGGTTCAGGTCACAGGTTGGAAGGACGACTGGACTGAGAGTGTGACTGTTGTCATGGGTGCTTTAGTGGGGGAAACCAAAAACAACATTTTGAGCACTTCCTCTTTGAACCAAAATGGATGGAACATCTTTTTGGGATGTGAAGGGGATTCGTCCATGACACATCGTTCAGGTCTTGTTTGTTCCTTGGTGTCTTGGGGAAATTGGATTTGTTTGAAGGGCATTCGCACACTAGATGGATTACCCCGTGAAGAGGATGGTGTGAGGGTTGTTCGGTTCAGTGACGAAGTGGATGAGATGCACCGCGCTCGCGGTCATCAGCCGTACGATCCTAGATGTAAGGTGTGTGTCGCCTCACGTTCGGTTGCTCAGCATCGGAGGAAGAAGCAAGACGATTCGGGTTCGGTGATCGAGCTTCACAGCGACTTTTTCTTCATTGAAGGGTTCAAGTTTTTGATTGTTGCTGAACTTTCATCGCACATGATAGGGTGTATGATTGTTTCTAGCAGCACGGATCATAACCGGAAGAACCTGTCCGCATGGTTACATGAGTTGGGGTGTCTTGGTGGTGATCCTGCAGGTGTTTTGCACGTTTTCACTGATAGTGAGAAGGCAGTTGGAAGTTTGTTCAAAGACGCGAAACTCGAGAAAGGGATCAAGGTGATCAGGGCATCGCCTCAGAGTCCTGAGACAAACGGGTTAGCAGAAAGGGCAGTCAGACACGTGAAAGAAACGTTTGTTGCACTTAGGACGGACTTGAGGACATCAGCAGGGTTGGACATTTTGATGGAGCCTAAGGCACTTCATGAAGTGTGTATGTATGTGGCTCATATGCATAATGTGCATGTTGGGGTGCATGGAACAGCTAAGAGCGCAAGAGAGTTTTTGGAGGGCCGGAGACAACAGACACCGACAACAAGTTTGTTCGGATCTATCGTATTGTGTGAACTTCCCGATGCGATCAGGAAGGATCGAACCATGGAGTTGCCAAGGTTTGCAGAAGGAGCTTACTTGAGACCGGAATTCGGCTCTAAAGCTAGTGTGTGCATTGTTCAGGTGGACGGAGAGTTGAGACGGATCAATCCGAAGACCATCAAGCTGGTTTTGCCACTTCGTTGGGAGTTTCATTTGATTCGCGGGTTTGTGGAACGCTTCGAGACTGACGAGAAGGACGTGCTTGTTGATCGTGACGCTAAGCAACTCGAGGATGATGTGAAGCGTGTTCGAGTCTCAGCTCAACCACCTGATGTGGATCCGGTGTGCCCTAAGAGTGGACCGCCGAAGTCGTGGTTTGATGAGACAGGAGAGTACACTGAGGGTTGCAATGCATGCAAAGCCTTGGAGTTGGGTTTGTCTCGAATGGGTAAGTCTCATTCTAGCAGATGTTGCCAACGGTATGTAGACTGGTTGAAGGCGGAAAGGACCAGGTTCCATGGTAGAGATACTAGAGATGTTCCAGGTGATGAGGAGATTATGCCTTATAAAGGTCATGATCATGAGGTGATTCCGTATGTCGAAGTTCCTCCTGAAGAACACGAAGATGTTGGTGAGGAGTATACACCTTCTATTCCTGATTCCCCCAAGGGTGTTCTCAGGGATTCCGGGGTGGATTTGAGTAAGGAACCTAGTGGGCCTGTACCTAAAGGGTTCGAGGACTTGCCAGGGTTTTCGCGACGAGGTTCGGTTTTCGACGGTGGTGCGGATGTTGATATGCCTGATGGGACATCAACGTCGTCGGCTTCGGCACCTAGAGGGTCTAAGAGGCCGGCTGAGGAAGACACAGAAGAGCTGTCGGATGTTGCAGATTCAGAGACGGAGAAACGGGGTTTGAAACGAACGTTAGATCCGGAAGAGTTCAACTGTTTGGCGGATGTGGAACTGGTGGTGGAGTTTTTGGAACCAACCAAGTTGTGTGGGAAAGTCACTTCACCTACCCTTGTCGGGGAAAACGTCTCCAGTATTTTCTTTGGTGGTAGTGAAACTAAGTTCAAGGTGGTGAACTTTTGTGGGGTCAAAGTGAAGGTTTGGCAACCACAGGGCGCGATCGATGATTCGACGCTAGAGCAGTTGAGAGCAGACCACTGTTTCGACGGCATGTTGACAGAGATTGAGAATTTGGACAAGTGTGAAGCTGGATTTCCAGTGCGGCACCAGGAAGCAGTTGATTTTACCAAAAGGGTGGGGACGAAGATCCTCACAGCACGATGGGTGACGAACTTCGAGATCGTGCTGGGTCAAGATGGAGTGAGAGCAAGGATTGTCATCAAAGATTTTGCTACTTCAAAGGCAAAGTCGATTGGAGCCTCGAGTCCAACACCAAGCGTTGAGGGTTTGAAGTGCGTTCTGGCCATCGCAGCGCAGAATGCCATGTATCTCACAGCTTTGGATGTGAGTGCAGCCTTCATGCGCACACCGTTGAAAGAGAAGAAGTATTGCATTAAGATGCCACTGAGTGTAACTTGGGTTGATGGATCTCCTTTGTACTTAGTTCTTTCGAGAGCTTTGAACGGGTTGCGTCCAGCCTCGAGAGAGTGGTTGGACTACTGTACGGGACTTGTGGAACCCTTGCAACTGAGGTCGGACAGGCGGGAACCTTGTATACTTAGTGGTTCTTTGGGTTTTCTGGTGATCTATGTGGATGACATTTTGTGTGTTGGGTTTTCAGAGGACTTTGGAAAGAAGGTTCATGGTTTGCTGGCTGAACATGTTCCTACCAAGTTTACGGGGGCGGTTGATCCTGTGAAGGGAGGACGGCTCAAGTTTGTTGGACGGTTTATTCAAAGGCTTCCAGGTGACCCAAGGTTGTTCATCTTTGTGGAAGAAACATACCTAGATGGTACCTTCAAAGAGTTCCAGATTGGAGGAACTGGGAAAGTGAAGAGTTCGGGAATTTCCGTGCCGGGGATTCGAGCGACGTTGGAAGGAGCTGGGGATTCACCGTTTTTGAGTCCTGAAGGACATTCAAGGTTCAGGCGAGCTTTGGGCAAGATCGCCTGGCTATCTCAGACCTTAGAGTATCTACACATTTTTGTTTGCCTCCTATCTACTGGACAACAGGCACCACAGGAGGTACATGAAAAGGGGTTACGCCAAGTTCTGAGGTTTCTTTACCAAGACAAGAATGTTGGGATCCAATTTCCAAGTGAGTTTGATTTTGGGGGTGATTCGTTGCTGTTGCTGGCATTCTGCGACGCAAGTCACGCCCCGATGAGAACAACTCAGAGACGGGGCATCTCAGGAGCTGTGGTTGTGTGTATGAACTGTGTGATCAAGTGTTTCGCACGTCATCAAACAGCAGTTAGCCTATCTACTTGTGAAAGTGAGCTTTTCGCTATTCAGGCAACAATGCAGGAGGTTTTAGGTCTTCAAAGACTGGTTTTTCGTCTATTTGAAGCTATCAAGATTGTTGTCACTTGTGTGCCAAACGGGGTTCGTCTGTGTACTGATAGTGCCTCAGCAAGAGATTTGATCAACTCATCGGACATCCCTCGCAGATCAAGGCATACTGAGGTGCGTGTGTTTTGGGTCCGTGAACAGCTAGAGCACAAGAAGGTTGAGATTGAATGGATTAAGGGTACGGCTAATCCTAGTGACATGATGACCAAGGTTCTGGACACGAGAACTTTCATGAAGTATAGAGAGCAGTTGGGTTTCGCGCGGCTAGAAGGTGTTCTGGCAGCGTCTCAGATGATGAATCCTGACTGGTTGGAAGGCTGTCTTGAACCTCTGACGAGGTCCGCGACCAAGAAAGCTGATGAGACGTTGCTTTTCATTGAGCTGTGTTGTGAAGAGAACTCATCGTTGAGATTGGTTTGTGGACAGCGTGACGTGCAGTACATTGGGATTACGAAAGACGGTGAACTTCCTGAGACTGCGCGAAGATTGTCGGAACAGATTGAGGAGCTCAAGAAGAGTCGGAGAGTCGAGAAGATCCATTGCCATGCTTCTTGTCCCTGCGTTGCAGGTTCGCCCATTCGGAACTTCAGTTCAGACCAGGGTTTTGATTTCAGGTTCGCAGACATGGAAGAACTTGTGAGCATGCTGCCTAGGTATCGCAAGCTCTGCGCGAGCATGAGTTTGGAATGGCCTGTGATCAATTCTCTTTGGAAGTGTGAAGGGGTTAAGAAGATTCTAGATAAGTGTGGTTTACATTTTGCAGTCGAAGTGCGTCTGTGTCAAACAGGATGTGTTTCACGATCTCAGATTCCTGTTGGGAAGCGTTTGAAGATAGTTTCAACTTCAGAGAACTTTGCAAAAGCATTGTCACACTTGAGCGTTTGCAGTTGTTCAGAACATGCATCGTTTAACGATGTCGAATGGACAAGCACTGGGTTTTATAATAAGAAACTGGCTGAAAGTATCCTTAAGGGAGTAAGAGCTGTTTCATAGATTTCAGTTCGAAAGGGGGGCTGAGTTCGAAAGGGGGTTTATGACCTTGATTTCCGGGGTCGCTGTCAAAGTCACTGTGCAAGTTTCGGCTTTGGCGTTGGGTCGAAATTCGTTTTGGTCCGACGCGGACTGGAGATTTCGGCTTTGAGCTTCTTGTTTGAGCTGGGTTCTTCTTGCTTTGGGATGCTGGGACTGGATGAGTTCGAGGTTCTCCTTGTGGGAGTCTTTTTGTGTGGGAGCTTTGTCGGAGCTTTCGTGATGTGGTTGTTGGGTCTTCGGACCAATCGAGTTCAGGCGTCAGCAAAGGCAAAGGCGCATTCAAAGGAATGCCAGACACGCCAGATCGCTGGAGCGGCCAGGAGCGAGCTGGAAGATAGAGAGTTTCTAATTTTTCCACATAGTGGAGAGAGAATTCATCTTCGAACGTGTGTTCATGTTCGATCGAAACGCGGACGTGTGACCAGGATTATCAAATCCTGTGAGGACTGTAAGCCTTTTGGATCCTAGAAACGTGTCGAAAAGAGAGCGTGTGTGTCAGAGGACTGTCGGACCTTTCAGGGTGGAGTGCCCTTTGTCCTGCCCTGCTCTGCTTTGCTGTGTCATGTTACTTTTCTTTAGGATAACGACTCCGTGCGAAGCCATGGTGCGTTCGATGAATCTTATGCTGGTAGCCGGGTGCTTCTGCGATTCAACCTCGAAAGGGGGTCTGGAAATTTAGTGCTGGAGCATTGGGAGACTGGAGCGAGATTGAATCGCTTTGCGTGTTTCGAGTCATTGCTAGAGGCAATGAGTTTGGAGCGATTGTGCCACCACGAATGTCACGAAGCTGGCATATAAGATGTGAGATCTCAGTTTTTGGAATTTGATGCAAGCCTTGCAGGCTAGACAAACTGTGCGATGGGCAGTTTGGTTGGAATTAGGAATTTGGAGAAAGATTCCGTAGCTTGGTGAAGCTCCGGAATGCGTTCTGGTGTTCATACAATCAGTGCTGTGTGTGGTTGACCGCTCCTCAGGGAGCCGAGTGGAGCAATCAGTGCTGTACGGAAACTGTCGCTCTTCAGGGAGTCGAATGGTTCTGTCAATCAGTGCATGTGTGATCGTTTGTTGCAGCGTGTGCTGCAGTCAGTGCGAGTGTGACCGTTTGTTGCAGTCATCAGTTCTGAACTGATGTTGAGAATTTGCTGGTGTGAGCAGGGAATGGTTTGTGAAAGCCGGAACGTCCTCTACGTGGGTAGAGTGACCATGTGTATATGTGTTTATAGCTGTATAGAAAGATGCAAGTTTTGGGAACTTCGTTTTGCACCACTTCGTTCCTTTTGGGATGAACCTTTGAAAGGGTTGGAGTGAAGTTTTGAGCTGGAGGTAAGCGGCATGGTTCGCCGTGCTCCCGGATGATGACATCAAGCCACAGACACTTTGTGTCAAAGGGTCTAGGTTCACGAACCTAGACCGTCATGCTGAAAGGTGGCTGTCTGATGGGGGTACGAGAACCATCTCGTGCCTGCCTCTTGTTTTGGAGACCCTCGGTTCGAGGGTAGCTATGCCTTTTGGAGAGAGCCCAGGAAGAAACTTGAGTTTCTTTGAGTGTTTGAAATGCTACTGTGTTTGGCTCAAGCCAACTCACAAGGATGAAATGTAAAGAGATGTAAAGACAGCTGTAAAGACACCTTGTGTAGAGTGTTTGCTTGTTTGCTTGCACTGCCCACCGGACACTGGAGCCTTCACTGAGAAAAGGGAGCAGCTTCTTTGAGCAACGCTTCTCAAACTGTGTTTGTTGCTGAAACTTTGGTTTTCGGAAACTTCGGAACTCGTTCGTTGAGCGCGAGTAATACTTGGAGTAGCGCGGTAAAGTAGTGCTGTTTCTCTGCAGGAGGTCTCCATCCCACCATCCCTGCTTTATATTGCGCGACGTGCTTTTGCAGGTTGCGCGCAACTTCGAGCAGTGCGCAAACAAGGGAAAAGCAAAACATGGCGAGGGACATATGCCCGACCCAACGCCTTTGACAAATGTGAGCAATTGACAAAGGTGGGTAACTCGACTAGTCCAAACAGCACCGAGTTTTGCCGGCCGATGCCAGTGTTCTATGGAGAGATGACTCTCCAGAACCTGCTCCAAAGACCATCGATGCTTTCGCAGCGGGAATTGTGGATAAGCACGCCGCCAGTAAGCTACGGCAAATGAAAAGTGCAAACACTAAGTAGGATCGCCAACCTCTTTTCGCCATTCGCAATACAGTGAGCCAATCGGAGTGAGAGCCTTAGGTTCTCGTTCCCAACAGGCGGGTGGTAGCGAATGGCAATGGAGGATGCCCAGGGGGAACCTTAGTTCCCTCTGTTGATGTCCGACATTTCCAATTTTGTACAAAGAGGTACAGATACCGTGCTAGGATAGGTCCTGTTTCACCTGTTTCACACGGGCCTTGCACGCAACAGAACAATTTTTGCAATGACGCAGCATTTCACGAAGATAGGGGACACCCCGATTTGGCACCTCTGTGTGCCGAAGGGTGCCGAGATGACCTCCCTTAGGGGGGGTGTGCCTTTCGCACCCTTACCTGCAGGCTTTCGTTGTTTGCTATGGCCGCCACTGCCTGAACACCACCAACTACTATGCCTCTTGACTTGAAAGTGCAACCAGTTGAATGGGTTGTGCTACAAGAAAGGACTTTTCCACGGCATGGTCTGCATAGCGACCGCTGATCCCTTTAGGCAAGGATCAGACCTGCATTAGAGAATACCAATGCCCGGAACTTGCATTGTGACCATGTTTCTGCCACTCTGTACAGTGGCCGCTGGTCACTGGTAAGAGGGATGTGAAGTCCTTTTGACGACTTCTTTGCGATTTTGCTAGAGCACGAACCCTCGCTGCCAAGCTCTCCGTTCGAGAATTCAGGCCCATCGATAGTCAGTAGTCATCGTTTCACCTGTTTCACCTTAGCACAGAGGAAAGACTACAGGATGGTGGAGACTTGGCCTTTGGGCTGTGGTTGGTGGTTGGTTTTTTGGTTTTGTTGGGTTGTCTTTGTTCCTTTCTCCACCATCTGACTGTTTTTCCCTTCCTTCAATGATGACCTGGGCACCATGCCCACACGGCGTCCGTACTCGTGGAAAAAAAGTACAGTTCAAGAGGATTTGGCACGTTGGTTTTTCTGCGACCACTTGATGTGGAGTTCACTTTGCACAACATGAGGCTTTTGAAAGGAACCCATGTGGTCGACTTTTGCACAGCTTGATGTGAGCAGTCAATGTTTCACGTCGGCTCAAGCTCAACGTAAAGCCAGAACAAGTCAAGCGAACACGACACGTTTGCTTGCGTGTGTGTGAGTGAAGGAAAAGTTGAGGGGAGTCCGATCTTGTGAGTCATTTGCTTTTTGGGATCGACGCGTTCGTTGTTCGTTGTTCTTTAAAGGCACCCGCCCGGCTCTCCCTGTGCTTCGTGCAAGGAAGAACGCTGTAGGTAGCAGTACCGCGACGCGTCTTGTAGCGTACACGTAGCTTCGCATGGTAGCGGAGCACTGGGCTCCGAAGGTCGCCAGACGTAGCGTCTTGTGTTCCAGGGCATAATGCAGCAAGCAGGCGCGCAAGCAGCAGCAGGCAACGTTCCGAGTAGTCCCACGCACTTGTTAGAGCAAGGCGGAATGTCAGAAGTACCACCACGGATCCCGAGTACGCCTAATCAGAGTACGCCAGGTAGCGTGAATGGTTCGCAGGGTGGAGGTGTTGTGTGACACCCAACGCACCACACATGCCGAACATGCCAGGAGCAGGATTAGGATGGGGTCACTCGAACTTAGCTGGTCAGAATCTTAGCAGTCAGAACCCTAGTGGTCCGAACCTGAGTGGTTTTGCGCCAGGACTGGGTCAGTTCCCTAGCCAAGTGCCCAACTTAGCAAGTGGCGATCCTAGAATCTCAGTTGGGAATTGTGGAGGATACGGTTGCTGTGGCAGTTGCACACCAGGACCTGGATGTAGCAGTGGTTTTGTAGGTCAGGTAGGACAAGGTTGTGGCTCTTTGTTTCCCTGTTTAGGTGTGAATCCGGTTGGAGTGCAAGACGTTGTACGTTTAGCAGAGGGTATGTCTGGTGCACAGGTCCTATCCTTAGCTCAATACTTTCAAGAACAAGTTCGGAGAAGGACTCATGCGCAACCAGATTTGTTTGGACAAGTACGGAGTGCGCCAGCAGAACCGTTCACGCCTGACTTGTTGGCGGCAGGTTTGCCGTTGCCAGTGGAAGCGCAGAGTGCACGGCAGCAAGCTGATGGTGCAGGTAGTGACAGTGGTTGGAACCAGAATGATCCATTTTCACGGACGGACAAGTGGATTGGAAATCCACCTCAGCCATCCTTTGAGAAGTGGCGTGATCGTGAAAGTGAAGTGCTCAATCGGGCGCAGTATGTGGCGGATTTGTCAGCATGGGCGTCCCAAGCATCTTTGCAGTTTGGGACTGAGATTCTGCAAGCATCTAGGTGGAGCACACCAATCCGTTGGTCATCAATGACGTTGGTGATGAGAAGTCGTAGTATGCGTTTGTTGGCTATTTTGAGATCCACGTTCATGGGCCATCCCAGGAGTGCCACGTTGATCCATGCTTTCATGGAAGGAGTGGACATTCAGGCCATGACCTCTGACGGTAGTGCAGGAACCAGTGCGAACGGATATGAGCTTCTGCGTCAGCTTACGCAGGAATACTCCTTGAGGACACGCAATGAAGCACTTGTTTTTCGAACTGCGTTGGCATCCAAAAGTTTTGTTCTCACGGCTCAAGAAACATCTCCTTCGTCGCTCGTGAGTGATACCGTACGACGTATCGAACTTGAAGCTGCTAGATATCAGCGATTGTTGAGTACACTCCCGTCGACGGTTGATGCTGTAGGGCTACAGGTGTCAGAAGCTGATTTGCTCATGGTGTTGGTGCGCAGTTTGCCAGAAACCGTGCGCAACTATGTTTTGCACCATGCAGAAGGAGAAAGCTACCAAGCATACCGAAGTGCAGCATGTAGATGGGAACAGCAGCAAAGGATGTTTACGGATTTGGTCCCTTTAGGAGGCAAAAAGGTATCTCAGGTGACACACCACAAGGAGGAGCAGCAACAACAACAAGGAGTAGAATGGTTTGATTTGAGTGAAAATGACGAAAATTGGTTTGTTGATGAGTTGCAGGGTTCCGCACAAAAGTGTGGAAAATGTGGGAGTAAGAAACATCAGACTCATGAATGTAGTGTTGATTTGACCAAAATCAAGTGTTTCCGATGCAACCAGACAGGACATGTCTCGATGAATTGCCCGCAATCTCGCTTTGCAGGACCAAAAGGAAAGGGTCAAGGCAAAGGCTCAAAAGGTTTGGACGGACGAAAGAGTTCTTGGGTAAAACAGGACATGTTCAAGAAAGGAAAATTTGGAAACGGAAACCAAACAGGCAAAGGTAAAGGTGGAAAGAAAGGAAAACTGAATGAAATTGAGTGGACCGCAGAAGATCTGTGGTGGGACAGTGAGGAGTCTTGGTGGGGAGATGGATCCCCGGTAGCCGCGACTTGGAGTGACGCGGCATGGCACGTGCAGGAGGATTGGCATTCTGGCTGGGTTGAGACCAGTCAAGATGGCTACGGCACAGGCGGAGAGCTTGGTTCAGAAACTCAGTATCGCACGGATGCTGTGAAGTCAGAAGGAAATGCACTTGGAAGTTTGATTCTTTCACCAGTTTTTGTCCTTTGTGATTTTGTGTCAATGCGGCCTTGTTTGGAATTGGAACCACCGGAGCACGACGCAGAGACTGCGACAGAGCCTTCGAAGTGTCCAGATTTGTCCGGACCTTTGGCAAAGGGCTTAGAGAAGAGTGCAGGAGAAACGACAATCAAAAAGACGCATGGAGATGCACATTCATGTCATGCTCTTCCGGCTCTGTCTGACTTCCCTTCCCCCGCAAAAGAGGGGGGGTCCAAACGTCGACGTTTGGACGGGGTCTTTTTGGATGGGTGTCCTGTCAGTTTTCCAAGCGAACAAATATCGGGCATTCCACAGTCATGTCATGCTTCGTATGTGCAGTGTGGTTTGAGAGACGACAAACGGGTTGTTTATGCAAACGAGACGAGTCAAGAGTTGTGTGCACTTGAACCTCTCCGAATTCGACTTCTTTTGCCGTGTGTTTCAACTTTTTTGAACGAGACGAAACAAACGTTGTCAGTTGCAGCTCAGTCTGTGAAGTGGGTACCAGTTTTAATGCCCCTCTTGTCTGAAATGGTGACAGATGATAACACTTGGTGGTTATTAGATTCAGGTGCGTGTGCCACGGTCATGAGCAGCGCATGCAAACATGTGTACATGGTGCATGATGTTCAGGCAGCAGTAGATGGTGATCGCTACAGGGCTGCGAATGGAAGTCAGGTGCACATGCAAGGCGAGGCATCCGTATCTGTTTGGATGATGTTGCGTAATGATTCCAGGTCTTCAGACTCAAATGTGGAAGGGTGCGCATGGAAGAAGGCAACGTTGCGTGCTCTTGTAGGAAACATTAGGCACAACATCCTGTCCACCACAAGGCTATGCGCTGGAGGTTGGAAGTTTTCACAAAGCAATGAAGGTTTCCAGGTCACACACAGCGCGACTGGTCAGCGTCTAGGCGAGGTGGCATACTTTGCAGGTTGCCCTTGGGTTCGACTCCACCCTGTAGAAACTTTAGATCGCAACACTGATGAGGCCGAGGCGTCAGGATCACAGCAATTGTCGTTGTCTACTATTGCAGGTGTGCCTGAGGTGACCGCTTCTGAGAAGGGTTATGAACTTCCTGTCTACCCGTTGTCACGAGCAGCAGCGCGTGAACTTGAGCAACACCGTGCACAAGGACACACACCTTTTCACCCAGGTTGCGTTGAGTGTGCGCGAGGACGAAGTGTTTTCTCCCACAGGCGACGATCAGAGGAAGGGTTACAGTGTGAGATACAAGCTGATTTTTGTTATTTGAAAAGCCAGGGTGAGATTTTGGAAGATGACCAAGGCTTGGGAAATGTCAAAATTCTAGTTCTCACAGAACTGGTGTCGAATGCAGTTGGATACATCGTTGTCACAAGTGACCTCAAGGCGGTCAAGAAGAGGATTTCCAAATGGCTGGAGCTGTTTGGATTGGCGTCGACATCAGGGGCCACGTCAGTGGTTTTACACACTGACGCGGAACAGGCAGTGGGAGATCTCATTTCAGATTGCTCAGAGAGGATTTCGTTCCTAGTGAGAAAGGCAAATCCACAGCAGCACCGGAGTGTGGGTGCAGCGGAACGCGCCGTTCGCAGACTTAAGGAGAGCTTGGGTGTTTTGAGAGCCGACTTGAATAAGTCTGGAGCCGATTTGAACTTTACACCAAACAGTGTGGCAGAAGCATTGACGTATTTGGCCTTAGTTCACAATCATTTCGGCAAGACCCCTAGTTCAGACTTTTCACCGCTGGAGACTGTGTGCGGCAGGCGACTTAGCAAACCCACATCAACTTTGTACGGTGCTACAGTGTCGGCTGAGTTGCCAGATGCAGTTCGTTTCCGCGCTCCAAACGAAACTCGGAGCATCGAAGCGGCGTATTTGCACGCAGGACTTGATCATGGTCCCAAGGTTCAAGGGTTTGTGCGGTTTGAAGGCCAGCTTGTTTTGCATCAATTTGTTGCTAGAAATGTGAGACCAATTCTCCCATTGAAGTGGGATGCAGAGATGGGAGCAGGGTTTATCACCATGAGTGGTCACCCGATTGAGGTTGAGGATGTTCATGTGTCGAGAGGAGCGCTGGCCGATCCCCCGCAGGCCGAGCATGCAGCTAGTTCAGCTTCCCGTCCGCAAGGTATGGAACAGGAACCACGATTGCCATTGCCAGGACCTGAGGGTGTGCCCGTGCCTCAAGAGAGAAAGCGCACGCATCAGCAAGAAGCGTTTGAGGCCAGTCAACCAAAAGTACCTAGAATAGAAGAACCTCCTTTTGTTCCAGAGTCAGAGTCGGCTGTGCGACAAACACCTCCTAGCCAACTTGCTGGTGAACCACAACCCAGGGTGTTTCAACCGACTCGTTTTTTTCCCGCTTGCGATACAGGAATGGTTGCGCCTGGAATCAGGCATTCAGCGCAGTGTCGTCGTCGCAGGGCAGCCTTTGATGCACAGGAAAATCTCCAGAATCTTCCGGTACCATTGGAGGCCGAATACACCAGACAGTTCAAAAGAGCTGCTGAGACGGCAGTGCAAGATTTGGAAGAAACGACCAGGGCGAATACTGAAGCTGTGGAAACAGTCTCAGTCTTGTCTTCCTTGAACTTGTTTTGTTTTGACTCCGGTGAATCACTAGAATCTTTGGATTTTAGGGTTCAAATGACGTCACCAACACTAGTTCTGGATGAGATCAGTGCCATACAATTTGATCATGGAAAGGAACATGTGTCCAAGCAACTCACTCTTGGGGGAGGCAAGGTTTTGATTTGGTGCCCTGATCATGTCATTGATGACAGCACGTTGGAGGCCTTAGAACCTAAGTTGGGTTTCGAGGGCATGTTGGAGGAAATTGGCAATTTGGAGAAGTGCAAGGCGGGGAAACTCTTGAGTGAACAACAAATGAACGATTTGAAGAGACTGAGCAAAAACACAAGAGTAATACCTAGTAGATGGGTATGCGCTAAGAAATCCCCAGTCAAAGTCAGGACACGGATTGTGGCAAAGGATATTAAAAGGGGGACGACGGCTAGGGCCATGGGATACAGCTCACCCACTCCCAGTGTAGAAGGGTTGTTTCTTCTCCTTTCCTTGAGCGCTAGTAGGGATTTTCGAGTGAAGACCTTAGATATCAGTCACGCCTTCATGCACTCTCCCCTTCCGAGCTCCGAGACAATCTTATTGAGACTTCCGCTGTCTGTGAGCTTGGTTGATGGCAGTGTGGCGTATCTCCACTTAGATCGAGCGCTCAACGGGTTGAGAGATGCGAGCCTGAGGTGGTTGAATCTTTTGAGTGAGACTGTCAAAAGTCAAGGATTGTGGTCAGACGAACTTGAGCCCTGTATTTACCAGGGAGAAATCTTTGGTGAAGACTCTCAGGTGCTGGGTGTCGGCATGCTTATGGTGTACGTGGATGACATTCTGTTGTGCACCTCTACAGAACAGGCGGAAAGGAGCGTGATCAGTGCCATTTCGGCAGTTGTACCAACCAAGGTGACTGGACAGATTCTTCCGTCAGATGAAGGAGGCGGAAAGGTGTCATTCATTGGGAGACATCTTTATCGAAGGCCCCAGGAGAAGGCGATCTTTGTAGCAGTAGATCCCAGAGTATCTCAACCCTACTTTCAAAGAATTTGGAATCACACAAGGATCGAGTGCTGTGCCTAACATAGCAGGCCTGATGGAAAAGAAGGATGCATCATCGAAAACACCATTGTCGTCGGAAGCGTGCTCCCGGTTTCGTCGGGGACTCGGTCGCCTCATTTGGTTAGCCCAGAGTAGAGCAGACCTCAAGTTATGGCTATCACTAATTGGTACACAGCAGTCAGCCCCAACACAAAGCGCAGAAGCGGCCATTAGGGCAGTATTGAGGTATTTGTTCACAGATCGAAACACAGTCCTTCGTCTTCCATCTCCAGAGTATGAGGGAGTGAGACTCACAGACCATGATGGCATGGTGACGTTCTTACACACCTTTTCAGACGCATCACATGCCCCCTATGAATTCAACCAGCGAAAAGGCATCACTGGAGGGGTCATTATGGTCGAGGCAGGCTTGATTCGATCTCTGGCAAAGCAACAGCAGGCCACTTCGCTATCGTCTTGTGAGGCTGAGCTATATGCTATTCAGCATCTCACACAGGAGGCAGTTGCCGTCTCCCATTTTGTGCATCGCGTTCTCTTCGGCTTGGGAGAGATTGAGGAGAAGGAACAGGTGGACATTGTATTGGAATCAGATTCCAGCTCAGCGTTGCAGTTGATTGGTGCTGTTGATCTTCCACGTCGTTCCCGGCACATTGATATCAAGTTGACATGGTTGAAGGAACGTGTTAGTTCCAATGAGGTGCAACTTCGACATCGAGCGGGAACACAGAATGTGGCAGATCTTTTCACCAAGTGTCTCGGAACACGTGATTTCCTTCGACATCGAGCGGTGTTGGGATTCATGCAAGCGGACATGCCATTGAGTGAGCTGTGGTTGTTGGCTGAAGCGTTTCATGTAAGCAATCAGGCATCAGGTTCAAACAACCCAGACTACTTGATGGTTGAGGTGTGTTGCACTGAGAATTCCAACTTGAGGTTGGCCTGTGAGCGATCGAACATTATGTATGTTGGTATCGCGGCTAACATGGAAACAAAAGGAATCAAACAGAGGGTTGCCCACTTGGTAAAGATGAAAAGGAGCCAAGGGTTTTGGATTCATGTGCACGTATCCACACCATGTAAGACAGGTTCACCGTTGCAGCACTTTCGAGAAACTGAGAAACTGTCTTCCGAAGAACAGCAGACATGGGAACAAGTCATGGAAGCAACCACGCATTACCTGAGGCTTGGTGATGTGGGCTCATTTGAACTCCCGTTGTACAACAACATATGGGGGAGGCCACTTACTCTTCGTGTGATGGAGAAATGTGGTCTAGTGCATCAGAGTGTTGTGAACCTTTGTCAGGCAGGATACTCAGGTAGGTCCGGGACTCCAGTGGGCAAGAAGCTTAGTTTCGTTTCGTCCTCAAGAGGGTTTTGCGCATCGTTGACAAAGAGATTTGGAAAGTGCACTTGTTCAGAACATGCAGCATTTTCAGATACAGACTACTCAAAGACTGCTTTCTATTCTCCTACTTTGTCAAGAGGCATTTTGAATGCTATGAAAGCGGCGCGAAGAGATCCCTGAGGACCGATCGTTTGTGAACCTTAGTTTGGTAGTGAGCTGGCAGTGAACTTAATTCGCTTGAGGATCAGGAGCAAGGAGCAAGCATTTACAGCAAACACCGTAAATCGCGTAACGCGAAAATGAATGCGAGTAAGACGTCTAAGACGCCTCTAACATAGTGCTTCTTGTGACTTTCGTTTTTTGCATCAAGCATCACACTTGGAATTGCAGTCATGTTTGTTTTGCACTTAGTTTGTGAACTCGTGACGTCGTTGCCGGTTTTGGGGTGAAGTGACTCTCAAAGAGAGGTGTACCTGAAACCCTTTCCGAGTGTGTGTTGTGGTGTGTGCGTGTGAGGCCTAATGTGGGCCCGTCGAGTTTCCTTTCTTTTGTTTGGCCGGTTTTGTTTGGAAACAGCTTCTTTTGCGCTTCTAGCCGGTCGACCTTGTGAGAAGCCATGGCCGAAGGTGCATGGTCCGAGGCTGATGAAAAGGCCTTGCAGGTGATGCTGGCTCGCAGGAGCCAAGGCATTGTGCCACCTTGCGTCACGCAGACTGCAGGTAGCATGACGGATGCTGCGAAGAGGCGCTTGGTTGACTTTGAGAGTGATGAATTTGAGGAAGTCCCATTTCCCGGTTCACCGAAGGATCGTGTGGCCACACTTGCAGCTATGGATGTGACGATTGCAGATGAGGGCAAAGTGAAGCATTTGCTCCCCAAAGGGGTTGACAGCTTTGTGGAATGGTCCCGCACTGTGATTGCTTTTGGCAAGCTGAAGGATTCAGGGCTCAGCTACAAGGAGATTGTGGCAGACCCGAAGCATGAGGCCTATGTGGCTTGGTGCAAGCGTTTGAAAGGCTCGACTGGGCCGGCAGGAGACTTTGGTGATTTTCTGCAAGCCTATGAGATGATCTTTGATGGCCGTTTGGGCGATGGTGGCTACTACTCCGAGTCAACGGTTCGGAGGGTCTTGAAGTGAATTGAGAAGCTTGTGGCTTTACCTTTTGGTTTCGGCGCTGTCTTCGCTTTGAAAGCTGACGAGACTGGAGGGAATTTTTCCAGAGACGCTCAATTCGAAAGGGGGTGTGAGAGGATATTGGACCTCTTTGATGCGACTTGAGCATCTACACGTCTAGAACAATGCACTACGAGCCACTTTCAGGGATTTGAGCACCCCTGAGTTCACGACAATGCACCACGAACCTCTTTGGTACTATGTGAGTCAAAGCGGTTTGAATGTCTTTGACTCGTACCCTCATGCGTAGCTTTTGGAGTGTTTTGAGCCAAGTACAGTTCAAGAGGATTTGGCACGTTGGTTTTTCTGCGACCACTTGATGTGGAGTTCACTTTGCGCAACATGATGCTTTTGAAAGGAACCCACGTGGTCGACTTTTGCATAGCTTGATGTGAGCAGTCAATGTTTTACGTTGGCTCAAGCTCAACGTAAAGCCAGAACAAGTCAAGCGAACACGACACGTTTGCTTGCGTGTGTGTGAGTGAAGGAAAAGTTGAGGGGAGTCCGATCTTGTGAGTCATTTGCTTTTTGGGATCAATACGTTCGTTGTTCGTTGTTCTTTAAAGGCACCCGCCCGGCTCTCCCTGTGCTTCGTGTAAGGAAGAACGCTGTAGGTAGCAGTACCGCGACGCGTCTTGTAGCGTACACGTAGCTTCGCAGAGACAGGAGAACACCATCCCCCCTGCCTCATTGTCCAGTGATACAACACTGTGTTACGACCAGAGAAAAATACTTCGGCTTTTCATCAAGAGAAGTTGGTTACCCTCCCCAAACAAATATTGGACTGCCGACAGGCGGTAGCCAGGGTAGGTGCCTTGGCATCCGTCCGGTGCGGAAAACCCCAGCTACGGGAATCATCTTCCTCGGTCGAGAATCGCAAAGGGCAAATAAAAATCAAGATTATCACGAACACGGTGTAAAGTTGCTGGCTCAAACAGCGACCCACTGCAGTCCACCCATGGAGCCCTCCGGTCCATCAAATGACAGCTCCCCCCAAGAAGGCGAGCCGGTTATGGACTGCCATTTGGTGCTGACTGCCCTTTCCGCACGGTCGTAAACATTTCTGTGAGTGTTGCCAAGTTTGATCGATTTGAGGACCTCGAGGACCATGTGGTTGACTACCTTGTCTCTGTCACCGATCTCAAAGTCTTTGGTTGCACCATCGACTTTTTACAAATTGATACGCAAACCTACCTGGAGAACCCAGTCTGGGAAAAACTGCAGCGAAGCATGGAGTACTGCGTCGTCTTTCGTGATTGTTGCGAAGCCCTCCCCTCACAGGAATGCCTCGAAGGGTGTCCCATCCACGACATTCCGCCTGCCGTTCATGTCCCCATGAACCCAGAGGAGATGGTTCCGGAGAGTGCGTTTGCAGGTGTGCCACGCCTACGCCACGTCAGTGCAGTGCCAGGCATCAGATTTGTGGGTGCAGAAGCTTGGCAGTGTTGTCGGCAGCTTCGAATCATCAAGTTGCCGGCAACGGTAGTGGTTGGCATTGCTGATAATGCATTCCGCGGCTGCCAACTGCTCAACAGTGTCACCGCACCTGGCTGCCGGGAGTTTGGCTATAAAGCCTTTGCGGAATGCAGTTCCTTGCAATGGGTGTGTGCAGCTGAGGGAGTTGCCAACCAGTTTTGTAGCACCACCAAATTTGGGCACTACCTGTATAAACCTTGCTGATTTTTATGGTACGTATGTCGATGTCACTGACTTTGTACGATTTGAGCTCCACCACAAGGACATTCGGTATGGTGCTCGACCTCATTGTAAATTTCGTCTACAGGGGGCGGAGGGCGCAGTGCTATCTACTGCATTTTTTTCCAGTGGACGCAGTCAAAGAAAACGTAAATACCCCTTTCCCAGAATGGACGGAAGGGCTTGAATTTCCGCCAGCCCTGCTCAAGCTTCGGGCAACTGTGGAAGGGGCCATCATTCCGCTCTATCATCAGGGCTGTATTGCAATCAACACCAGGGGGGCCACAACTTATGGCACAAAGCGAACTCGGCTCCGCAGGATGATTTTGCACAGACAGCACCACGAAAGCCACCTCCTCACTGTGTTGGCTGAAGCGGTAAGCGCTAGGATCTTCACAGAGAGCGCAGACCCTCTTGATATTTTCCTGCAGACACGCCCCTTTTCAGCTTCCCTCCCTCGGCGCGTGGGCTTTTGGTCTACTGATGACAGACAAGAGCAGCAGGTCCTTCGAGTAGACACACAACCTACGGAACAAGCGCCCCCTCAGCGTCATACAGAGCGCGCGCACCACCAGATCGAATCAGCCCTACATGCAAGAGTGCAAGGTCTGCGTGCCCTGGTACAGGAAATCGAACAAACAGTAGACTATATGCCTCCAGATGTGCAGGGTGCTCTCCTCACTCCCCTGACTGACCTACACTCCCAACTGTGTGGCCTGGTGTACGTAGCCTGGTTACTCTCCCTTTTGCACCCGCATGCTGATGATCACGACCAGTAGTGACAGGGTCCTGGTGACATGCCTCTGCAGCAACATGATGTCCCCTTTTTCTTCCTGTATTGTTTCGAAAGGTGTCCCCTGCTAAAAGCTAGATGCAGTTGATTTTCTGCAGATGCATTTTGCTGTAACGTTTGGCTCACAGCAGGTCGTAGCGCCCTGCATGCAGGAGTGAGGTCAGCCTTAGCTGACATCACCCTTGTTGCCTTTCGTTTGCTCGCGCCGCTCAGGGCAACTGCCAACCTTAGCTGGCGGGGGCTGCACTCGTTTTTTGTTTATTTTTGAGCAGAGCAATTCCGATGTCACATGACCCGTGGATGGAGGACAGTAATTCACTGGACCTTGCAGATAGTGTGGAGGATAGAGTCCATGTGCCCTTTGCATTCACACGTGATCATGCGGAGTGGCTGACAGCTGATGGCCAGGCCAACTTTGCCAGAGGTACGGAGGCTAGTGTGACGCAGTCCCAGGAGGATGCTTATGCAGCGATGGCTATGAAAGACACTCTCAGCAGTCCTTTCGGCCTTGATTCCGCTCGGCCTACGCTTGGCCTGTCTGATGTTCGTGCGCAACCATCCAAAAAGGATGAAGGGTATGCCGCTCTTGACACAGAGGGAGACCTGCCTGATACCACTGCCATTATTCAGACGCTCATGTTACACCGAGACTTGATCATGAACAATCAAATGATCTACCTAATAGTGGACAATCGAATGCCGGCAGATGTCCCGCATTGGCCAGCTTTTGCAGCATGGTGGGCCTCACGTAGGTGCCTAGTGGGTCCCCAAGAAGAGACAACTGACATACTTTGGGGTCTGTGCTGATGCTACTACTGGCCTTCACAAGGTTCCATACTATTGGGCAGGAGTCTTTGTTCTAGAGGCAGCGCGTTTCCTGTATCCTGCACAGCATTTTGCCCTCATTGACAATGACTGTGTACCAGTCACGCTTTTCGAAGTGCAAGATCTACTGCAGCTGGCACATCAGCAGCACCAATGGGTTGACCTCATAGGGTGTGTGCGTTCAGAGTCTAGCTCCTGTGCAGGGATTGGCATGCTACTCTTCACAGAGGCTCACTTAGAATATAATGCAGGTCTGGTCATTTCGATCGGCAATCGCAGCAAGCACAGTCCACTGGAGTATGACACGACTGCCGCGACCCTGGCGAAGAACCTCCAGGCAGGTCGCCTTGCCCTAGTTTCGAGAGCTAGACCACCTGCCAATCCGAGCGACACCGCCATAAGTGGCACCTTGTTTACCCCCTTTGTTGGGACAGCAATGCAAACCGCCCTTGACCTATGTATGGTCTGGTCCCTATACGGACTCTACATGCGTAAGCATTTTTGGCCTAGTCCTGTTACCAGCCCGAATGAACTTGGTCCAGGCAATACAATCAAGTGGCCACGGCAATCCCATCCAAGGGCTCTCACCCCTGAAGGGAGAGAGCGAACTCCGTGGGTCACCAGCTGGGCTCGTGCTACCTTCGAACAGGGAATACTGTCAGTGCTCCCAATGCTTACAGGGCCATGCACAGTCGCGTCGTTGCCAGGTGAACATCTTTTCCAAGCCAGTGCGCTGCCGCGCAACCGAATGCGACCTGCCATATTTCATGCCTTTGGCAAGGCCAAAGTTGGAGCGCAGGCTGCTTTACGAGAATTGGAGCAGCAAGGTTGGGAAACGCTACCGGTTGCGATACTCGGCACGCCCAACCTGCCCCCAGCATGGGTCGTTGAGACTTGGAAACCAGTAGGTGGGTGTAAATTTACAGGCTACTTCCCTGGTGTAGCTGGGAACAGTGCTCCGCGCTTCTGCCTGCTATTAAAGTGGCGGGCGATTCGTCCGCAAGCGACGGAACTCTTTCCAGCACAACTGGGCAGGGGGACAGCCTTAGCTGTCTTCCGGCAGAGGACGGTGATGCAGACGTGGAGTCAGTCTCCACGCCCTCGTCTGACACTTCTGACAAAAGAGCAGATCGACTCGCTAAAGCAATCGAAAGCGACTCGACGCAGGGTAGTCAAGTACCTGACCCTCGTCCATGCACTCCCTGTCCGCAACGGCTGTCTACTCCTCTCTTTGTGCCCTGGGGTCACGTCGCCAAGCTACGAGGGGTAGTTGCAGTCCACAAGGACATTGAAGCATGTCCGTATGAGCAGCTGCAATTTGCATTGGCTCATCCCAAGTGTCTTGTCCCAGGAGAAAAAGAGCAATTTCTTCAAGTCAACAGCGACTTGCTCTGTCAACTCCAAGGCTCGTTCATGCCCCTAGAAGGCATCGCACCACAAGTGTTCGAAGCCATTTACCAACGTCAGCAGGGTGAAATACTATGGGTCACCGTCCTATGGATGATTGCCCAACTCAATGAGTATTGGATTGGACATAACTCCCCACCGTTACCATCAGTATTTCAGATCAACTGTGGTGGTCTTGGGGGAGGAGCCCTTGAAGGGGAGGTCCCCCCGCACTTCCATTGCATGTGTCCGCCTGTGGGAGAAA